GCTTGAACACCTCTGAGATAGACCCTTTAACTTCTAATTATTAAGAGTTTTTCTTTGTATTGGGCTAAATCTCTCTGCAACTTTCACCCATTAATCAATCAATAAACATTTATTAAGTGCTTACTATGTGCCAGGTATTGTGCTAAGCATTGGGGATACAAAAGGAGGCAAAAGATACTCCCTGCCCTCAAGGAGGGAGACAACGTGCAAACAAATATATACAAAGCAAGTATATAATCAGGATAAATAGGAAATAATTAAAAGTGGGAAAGCACTGGAATGAAGATGAGTTAGAGGAGCCTTCCTGTAGAAGGTAGGATTTCAGTTGGGATTTAAAGAAAGCCAGGGATGCTGGTAGTAAGAGTGGAGGAGAGAGAACATTCCAGGCATGGAGGACAGTCAGAGTAAATGCCTAGAGCAGAAAGATGGAGGGTCTTGTTTGTGGAAAAGCCAGAAGGCCAGTGCCATTAGAGCAAAGAGAATGTATCAGGGAGTCAGGAGTAAGAAGAATGGAATCATAGGAAGGGGTTGGTTATAAAGGGCTTTGAATATCAAACAGAACATTCTGTATTTGATCTTGGAGGCAACCGGGGGGGGGGGGGGGCGCGCGCCAGCCATTGGGGCAGGCCAAGTCTAATTCTTCTTCCATGCAAGGACCTTTTCAGCTATCTGAAGATGGTGATAAGTCATTCCTTTTCTGGGCTAAACATACCCAGTTCCTTCCACTGATCCTTCTATGATAGTATGATTTTAATACCCTTCATCATTTGGGTTACCCTACCTTAAATGTCCTCTACTTTGTCAATGTCCTTCCTAAAATGTGGCACCCAGAACGGAATATAACACTCTAAAGGGGTTCTGGGGGCAGCTAGGTGGCCCAGTGGATGCAGTATCGGGCCTGAAGTCAAGAAGACTCTTCTTCCTGAGTTTAAATCTGGCCCCGGACACTAGCTGAGTGACCCTGAGCAAGCCACTTAACCCTGTTTGCCTTAGATTCCTTATCTGTCAAATGAGCTGGAGAAGGAAATGGCAAACCAATCTAGCACCTCTGCCAAGAAAATCCCAAAATGGGGTCATGAAGAGCCAGACACCACTGAAATGACTGAACCACAAAGGGTGTTCTGACAGGGGCAGTGGGATTATCACCACCTTCATTCTGCAACTATGCCTCTCCTAATCCTGCCTAAGATTAAATGAGCTTTTCTGGCTGCCAGAGCAACACTATTGTAACTCATGTTGAGGTTGCAGTCCACTATGACACCCAAATCTTTTTCAGGTGATCGAGCCACACCTTCCCCACATTCTTCCCCCACCCCTGCTAAATCTTCTATTGATGAAATTGACTTTTTGGAAACTTGAGTTTGAATCCTAGCTCTGACATATACTCGTTCAGCAAATCACTTAACTTCTTCAGCCTTGGTTCCCTCATCTATAAAACATTTTAGAATATGATGTTTTTATATAAAATATTAAAAATAAAATATTTTATGTAAGATATTTAAAATAGTTTATATGAAATATTATAAAACAAAATATTTATATGAAATATTATAAAATAAAATAGCTTAAATAAAATTTCCCTGGATTTGTCATCAGGCCTAGACCTCAGAACTTGGCTCCACAACATACCTGTGTGACTTTAGGTAAGTAACAATCTCTTCAGGCCTCAGTTTCCTCACCTATAAAATGAGGAGGTTGGACCAGATTTTCTTTAAGGTGCCTTCTACCTTTAAATCTAATGAACCTAACTAACCAGGACCACCACAAAGAAAAAGCTTCTTAAACCTTAAAGTGCTATGTAAACGGCAGTCATCAATAAATAACAACGATGATATTAAGGTTCCTCAAATCAACACACAGCCTCCATGTTTCTTTCCTATACCCTCCCACAGTCCCCCTCACTTGAAGACCCAAAATGTGCATACCTGGTTTAGAACTCGTAACAAGTCTATTGAACACATCAGCATTTCTCAGATACCTCAATATTGACATGTGGACCCCAACAATGCTGCTTTTAAATGGAGTTCTTTTTGAGTCACCTTTTAAAGTCTGCTTTAATAAATGATTCAACTGCCTGAGAAATTCCAACATAATTACAATGCAGTCTTTGACTTAAAGGCAGCATAAGAGCGAGACTTCTCTACTGCAGTTGACATTCTAGCCCACATCCCTCTATGACCTTTAGTTAGTCATAGAATACTGAGCTTGAAGAGATTATAGAGTTCATTTAGCCTAACCCCCTCATTTTACTGGCAAGCAAAGTGGGGCCCAAGAGGGAAAAGAAGGAAAGTGCACCCAGGTCACATAGGGAGCAAGGAACAGTTCTGGGATTCAAACCCAGTCCTCTGACTTTCAAATTCATGGCTCTTTCCATTATACCATGCTTGTCTCTTGTCCTCATCTCTGAACTCAATGAAGCTAAACAAGTCTCCTGATCTAAGTGAAGCCCTAAAGAGTTAGGCTTTTGGAAGGGAAGATATATACATATAGATAGACAGATAGATAGATAGATAGATAGATAGATAGATAGATAGATAGATAGATAGATAGATATGTAAAAATTCTAGGGGTTGGTTTCCATTATAGTAATGGGAGGAGAAGACTGGCCATTGAGAGCCCAAAGCACATGTTTGATGAACTTGCTGATAACAAGCAATGATGGGTGAGAGTTGGGGGGAGGAGGGAAATAGGTCAGAGTTTGTATATTTATTCCATGACTTGTTTCTGTTGGTTTGTTGAGTAAAGAAATAGCTAACATTTATATAGTGCTTACTATATACCAGGCACTGTACTAAGCACTTTTAAGAAGACTATCTCATTTGATCCTCCTGACAATCCTGGGGAAACTGAGACAGCACTTAAGTGACTCACCTAGGGTCACACAGCTAGTAAAAATCTGAGGCAGCATTTGAACTCAGGATGATGGGTCGTCCTGACTCCAGGCCCCAAACTCTATCCACTATGCCAGCTACCTACCTAAAGGAAAGTCTTCTTATTGGCTACTGAGCCAGAAATGTATGTGTATAAAAAAGGTATTAGCCAGACTAAAGCAAGCTCCTTCCTCCTCTCTGTCTTAAGAGCTGCAAAGATGAGATCTGAGCTCCAGAAGGCTGGTGCCATTCCTTTCCTGGGCCTTGTAGTAAGCAAGCCTGTGTCTGGGATGAGGTAGTTTCTGTTTGTATCTTATTTCTTTCAGTATAGAACCTTGTAAGATAACAAAAGATTGGAAGAGCCACCAACCAACCTTAAGAAGCAACCTCCTTCACCCGGCCCAGTAGTGAATGTACCGGATGGCTAAGACACAGGGTTCAGTGGTGGAAATATATCCACTTTTAAGATGAGCCCACTGTGCCCAAGGACCAAGGTGGTAGAGTGGAGAGCATGCCCTGGTTAAGAAGAATGTTTATGTACTTAGGATCTTACTACTTCTTCTATATCCCTTTCTAAAAGCTAGTTAACATTAACTTATTGCTTAATGATGTTATTGAGGAGATATCGACTAGATGAATGATATTGGGATAGTAATTGCTGGAGACTGATGTTGTGTGGAACATATCAGAATGGGCACTTGAGTTGATAGCATTAAAAGAACCCCATTACTCCTCAAGGGTACCCCAATGACCCTGAGAGAGGAGATTGAGCAGCATCCTGGCTCTGGAGACCTAATCCACCAGTAGGAGTGTGGGTTGGGAGGGTTGAGTCCTGAATCTTGCTACCTTAGCATCCTCATCTCCACTAACACCCAAAGATAACGTTATGCCTCGTCCTCTCCATCAGAACTCTTTGACATAAATCTCGGGCAACCTGTACTCTTTATGACAAATCTAACCATGATCTAGGAATAGGGCTTGTCTTTTGGGATACATGCCAAATCCTCTCTTTCTCAGCATGCAGGGAAGAGGAATATAGGACTTTTGTGTGTGTGTGTGTGTGTGTGTGTGTGTGTGTGTGTGTGTGAAGAGTGATAGTACACAGGTTCCCTAGGTGACAGGAGAGGGGTGAGGGAAGCATTTATGTGCTGGTGCCACAGTTCCCTTCATTAGGCCTCATGCACAGGAGCAGCAAGAGTACAATAAGTAGGTCTGTGAAATACTTGTCACAGCCTGCTAGCCTCCTCACCATCAGTGTAGAAAGTAGGCCTTCACTAGGGGAGGCAAATGACTTTCAGGAGATTCACAGGAGCCTTGCAGGAGAGCACTCATTAACTTACCAAAAGCACACCCATCCCCACCCCTCAAGTTTGGGAGGGAAGGGAGGTTTCCCTTGAGGATACTGACTTGTACTTTCAGATGTATCAAGTGAGCACACTCATCTAGGGCTTGATGTCTGGGGCTTCAGGAAAGGAGGAATGCCAAAAGGTATCCCTCTAATATCCCTCGGTACCATCTGCATCATACTGCAGGAGCTGCCAATGCTGCTCTTGTCCACGGCACTGCAGTTTGCCTGCCTAGGGGCTCAAAGGCCGCAGTTCCGTGGGTGTGCAATCAAAACCTGATTATAAAAACAGTCTGTGGTCTCTCTTGCGGTTCTGAATCCAAAATGCACAGGGTAGGAAGATTTCATTTGGCTTTTCAGCTCCAGTGAATAGAAAGTATAACCACAAAGCCACTTAGGAGGTGGGGAGGGGTGTCATCAAACAAGGGGGGCTGGGGGGGAGGTTGTCAAACCAGAGGAAGGGAGGTGGTCATTAAACACAGTCGATTCAGTCCTGGAAGACCAGCTCCTTCAATGACAACAGAAAATCAACTTAATTGAGCATCTGAACTCACAAAAGCAGTCAACTTCCCTCTTGCCTGTGTTCAAAAAAAGAAGAAACATAATCTAATCATTCTTTTCCTTCTTTTCACCTGCATACTGAAAAGAGGGAAAAATTCCACCAGCCCAGAAGAACCACTGAGAATCAGGTTATCTGCCAAAAGGATAATCCCTTCAAGCCCCATTGCCACTCCAGAGTTCCCTGGCAAGGTACCTGGGAGGCCAGTGGCAGGCCAGAATCCTACCTGCAGCTCCTTGTCGGAGTACTTCTGAGGGTTTTTACTCCCTTGGCTCTTCTTACGAAGTTTCTTCAGCTCAGCCTGACACTTGTCAAGGGCATCCCCTTTGCTCCTTTGCTCTGTCTGGTATTTCTTCAGTGCAGCCTGAGAATAGATGACAAAAAACAACAATCCCTTTGCAGTCCAGCATTCACTCAGATTTAGCTCCTAAGGAGCACTTCCCAGCCAGCACCCCTCTCTGTGGTCAGCAGCTAATGTAGAGGGCCCTATAGATCATTAGGAAAAATTGTCTGTTCAGCTGTGAGATAAAGGAGATCACAATTTAAATGTGGATTTTAAGAGGATTTCAAGTCTTCTTATCTCCCAAACTCTGCTATTGGATGGGTGGGTGGAGAGGAGGGATACCCTCCTCACCCTGGCTTCTAGGTACCTTATCCTCCCTTTAAGGCGTGGCTTACTTCCTAGAAGAGGTCTTTCCTGATTCTCACAGTTGTTAATGATCCTCTTCCTTGCCAGGTTCTGCCCCCTCCCCCCAAAAAAATTACCTTGCATTTATTTTAGATATGTGTGTTATATTTTCTTATCTTTATGGAAGTTGTTCCTTCCCACTAGAATGTCAAGTTCTTGGGAGAATTCTCTATCCCCAGGCACTGGGGGATATGTGCTAGGCACATAGTAGGTGCTTAATAAAACGCCTGTTGAATTTAATCAGCTATCTCAGATCAGCACCCTACATTGAACACTGCCACAGAGACCTTGGAGATCCTACCTCGTACCAATAAAGGTGACCAATATTTCATATTAAATTCTTTGCAACAAGGATGAATAAAACTAGCACACTAGCAAACTCGTACTAGGAACTGCTTTGAGAGGAGTGGGGGGCAAGGAAAAGAGCATGGAAAAATGAGATGAGACCACAGAAGGGCAAGAAAGCAAACAACTTGTAGGTCTGAAAGAATAGCCAAATAATTCAGTGAGCTTTACTGGAGGGGAAAAAAAAAGGCAGCTAAAGGTGGGAGGGAGGAGGGGGGCACTTGAATCAAAACAAGGTGGAGTCTTGGGTGTTTTGGCTCACAAAACTACAACCAGGATTATACTATAGGTACCTGGTTTCGAACCAACAAGAATTTTAGGAGGGTCAAGGTGGAACCCACCTGTACGGGAAGCACATAGGAAATTGAGAAAGCTTCAGACTGGGGGAAGGATTTAAAAATAAAGAGTGTCAATGGAAACTCAGAAAATACACCTGGTTATCTGACAAGTGAAAGAAGAGAGAGGAGAAAAAAAAAAGAGGCGAAGATAGTTTACTTACACTTAGGTACCTGGAATCTAATTCCACTTTCTGCTCCAACTGTGTGAGTAGTTCATTGTGAAAAGACTTCAGCTAAATACAAGAAAGAAAACATATTGCAGCATTCCCTTAGGAGTCAGGTCTAAGCAAATATTGCCTAATGATGAGAAAACTCACCTGCCTGCTCATTTACTGGGGACAAAACCCAGAATAAAAAGAACAGACAGATCACAGAGCCAACCAGGACACGGGCCTTTTCTCAAAAGGCCAAATAATTTTCTTTAAGATAGCCAATCTAGTTTTGAAAGATGAGCTTATTCCTGTCTAGATAGATAAGGAAAGATCAGCTGATGAACTTAGGGAGACAGATGGAGACCCATATGGAGCCAAGGAGACTGCCTGGAAAACATGCAAGTGAGCAGGAGACAAGGCAACGGTTGACAGTTTCAGCATTTATCAACCAAGTTTAAATGGCTTGATTTCACATGGATAAAAATGGAGACAGTCTTCTCCCCCCATTACAGTGCCAGCGGCTCCACTGAGACACTGATTAACTGTGAGAAATACCTCCAATGTATAAAATGTGGGAGAAGTGACACCCCCTTTACTCCAGACAATGGCATTTCTCACCAGGCCTTTCTCTCTACCCCACATGTTATTTTCTTTGGGTTCCACTGTCTGCTAAATTAGCTTTCTCTTTCTAACCAAGAGGCCCAGCCATATTTCTACAGCTTGCTGACAGCAGCTCCATGGTTGGGCTACCTTACAAAGTGTATCCATGGCCCAATAAACTGCTAGGTCGTCTTCTGAGCCCCAGCTTGCCTGTGTCCCCACAGGCATCTGACCCACCCATCCTTTCTCAGGGAGAGTCCAGCCCGTGGAAGCTTGATACTCACCATCTCTTCTAACTGATTCTGAATCTGCCTGTGAACTTCTGCCATCTGGAAGAGTACATCCCCTGCAAAGATAAGATCACAGCAGGGAAAGAAAAGGGGGGGGGGAGGCAGAGAAGGGACATAAAGGGAAGTTATGTTAAATGCTCCGAGTTCTCTATATATATCACCCACATCCATACATCTGGGATAGCTGAGGCATTGATTCTAGTGGGATAAAAGGGCTGATACCACAGAGTTGGCACTTTGTGGTTGACGGTTCCAGGAACTGACTCAGTGGCATTTGGGGATTCATGGAGCATGGTATAATTCAAATGAAAAACTTGTTTAAGCTATGTGATGGGCCTGCAGAGTCCTAGCTGCCTGGGGACAGAAGAATGTATTTCAATGCCTTCCTGAGGCCTCTTCTGAACATGCAAATACCAGAAAAGAAATAACAAGGAGCAACATCACCACCAAAACCAGAATGTATCGTATGTATGTATGTATGTATGTATGTATGTACGTATGTATGTAAGATGAAGTGGTGGTATGGAAAGTCCCCGAAAGGCAGGGATTTATCGATGCCTCTCTAATGGTGAAAAGAATTTCGTTCAAAATTTTAAAATAACGAATCTGACAGATGAAGGGTATGGGTATATTTAATATAAAATGCACCAAAATGTATGTATGCACTTTCCACAATTAAACACCCAAAACCACCTCCAAAAGTTAAGCTCTAACAGGCTAATGATCACTTTTGGTTGCCTAGGCTAACAACAGAATACCTACTGAGGCAAGCCTCGTCAGGGAAAGACTCCAAAGGCTTACTTAGTTCAAAGGCTCCAGAATCAGACCATTTCATTATTCTAGTCTGCTGTTTAGGGATGAGTGAACAAAAGGAGAAATGGAGAGCCTGGTTCCTAGGTTTCAGGGTGGGAGAGAAGGAGTGACTATTTCTAGTTCCAGTTGATTTTCTGATGTCCCTTTGAGTTTCATTTCTTAAATGAAATATAAATTAGAGGTCCTGTAGGATGACCCAAGGTCCCTCCATGCATAAGTTGAATGTTTTAGTTTCCAATCAGGAAAACACAAGCACAGGTCTATCTGCAGAGGTGTTTGCCTGCAGAGGATTAATAACTGTATCTTGCCATGCTACGGGAGGTCTGCAGCAGTCTGTATACGGCAGGCAGGCAGCAAAATCCTCCTGGGGGTTTCTGGTGCTCAGAGGAACTGAGTCAAGAGCAGGAAGGCCCCTTGGGAAAAACGGAATGCTTTCTACTTTTTTCTCTCTTTAATGCACTTCTCCAGTACAGAAACACTTCAGAGATTCTGACAGTTTCTTGGCCCATTTGCAAAAGACAGATTAAGAAATTCGAATTGTAGCTGAGCAAAAACTAACTACTGCTACAGGTCATTTCAATCCTGGATATTAACAATAGGGATTCCATTTAACACTTGTCTTGGCTATTTATATTTTTCACTGGCTTTGCAATTGCCTGGATTAATTTATCCCTAGGAAGGCAGCTCTGGAAGGCAGACTGATGGTGAAGTTCTGGGTCTCAGCCATTATAGGAGGGATAGGGTGCAGCCATGTGGCTTAGTGAAAAGAGCCCTGATTTGGAAGCAGAGCACCTGGGTATACTACTTACTAACTGTGACTCTGAATTAGTAAGTCCCTTCCCCTCACTTAGCCTCAGTTTTCTCATCTGCAAAACAGGGTGAGGGTAGACTCGATAATTTTAAAGTCCCTTATAGCTCTAAAATCCCGTCCTTCCCCTTTAAACTCTCCCCCCACTCAAAAAAAATATCACAACACAGAATGGCTAGAAGGAACCTATACACATACCCAATGAACCTGGGTGGGATGAAGAGGTGGGGATTTTCCCTCAAAGCCAGCTGCTCCCTCCCCTGCAAACTCCCGGATTTCCTATGTAGTCAGTTCCAAGTGCCCCCATTCCATTATTTCTCCAAAACCTGATTAACAGCTTCCCAGTTGTACTCTAGGCTGAGGCCAGCAAACAGTTTCAAACACTGCTCTGTTAATGGCCTAAAGTATGGGACCTAAAGAAGAAGCCAAGTAATGGAGAGATTTGCTTCCACAAAGCCTCTAAGCAAAACCCCAGGAGAGGAAACAAAAGGGCCAGGAGTTAGGAGCACAGACTGCTCACTCAAACCAGTTACACCAGGGATCAGAATACCAGAGGTTACCAAAAATCACTGTCTGCTTATGTGCTCCAGATAACAGAAAACAAGAGATCTCCTCAGGGAATTTTTGGAATCTTCTGAAATATTCAGGCCTTATTTTCCTAATTCTACTAAAAGCTCTGCAAGCTGTGGCTAGCCACAACTCAACAGTAAATAATTAAGTTCACTCATTACTTAACTACAGGTTGAGGCCAAGTAATTTGTCCTCTTTGGGACTCGGTTTCCTCCTCTGTAAAAATGAAGTGTTGAATGAGAAGGTGTTAAAGATCTCTCAAAGCCCTGGCATTTTTTATTTTGGTCATTTTCTTAAACTCTGAAGAGAAAGGTGATCTTGAACATGCAACATGGTTGCTGTTCAGTTGTGTCCAGCTCTTTATGACCCCATTTCTTGGCAAAGATATTAAAGTGGTTTGTCATTTCCTTCTCCAGCTCAATTTACAGATGAGGAAACTGAGGCAAACAGGATTAAATGACTTGTCCAGCATCACATACCTAGTAAGAGGTCAGATTTGAACTCAGGAAGATAAGTATTCCTGACTCCAGGTCCAGAGCTCCATCCACTGCACCACCTAGCTGCCCCTATGATAGAGGTTTATGTGTACATATACTATACATGTTTATGTGTACATAACACATATATGTTGTTGTTCACTTGTGTCCGATTGTTCATGACCCCATGGACCACAGCACATCCATATGTGGGGTTTTCTTGGCAAAAATACTGGAGTAGTTTGCCATGTCTTACTCCACTGGATTAAGACAAACAGAGGTTAAGTGACTTGCCCAGGGTCACTCAGCTAGCAAGTTTCTGAGGCCATACTTGAACTCAATTCTTCCTGACTCCAGACCCAGAGTTTTATCCACCGAGCCACCTAGCTGCCTCCTAGGTCCTCTTGGACCTAGCTACAATACAGACAGTTCTGGCTTTATGTAAATTCACATTATGCAAATTCAACTTTATGTAAAGAATTCTGAAAGAAATTTGCATTCCAAAAAAAACCTATGTTCTCTTTACTGTAAGAGTATTGTGCATATTTGCTCCAGCTCTTGTGCTCTGTCTCTCTCTCTCTCCCTCCCCTGCCCTTCCCCCCTGCCCCTAGGCTCCATACTCAGCAGCCTCCTACTCACCCACCCCCAACTGCCCACAGTACCTCTGATTTTGAATTTCTCTTCCCAGTCCTATGATTGCTATTAATACATATATATGCCAGAGAGTATTTAGGTCTTTATTCAAGGATTGGTAATAATAGTACCAACATTTCTATAGCACTCTGCTAAGTGCTTTACACAGTTTATTTCATTTGATCCTTATAACAATCCTATGAGGTAGGTGCTATTATTATCTTCCCATTTTACAGATGAGGAAACTGAGGTAAGAAAGAGGTTAAATGATTTACCTAAGGTCTTGTGGCTGATAAGTATTTGAAGTAGAACTCAACCCAGGTCTTCCTGACTGCATGTCCAATACTTTATCTTCCATGCTATCTAGACGACCCTTTGGCTGAATCCTAAACTTCAATCAAAGGGCTGTACTTGAGGACCTACAGCACCATATGTGGCCTTGAGGTTGCAGGTTCCCCGCCCCTAGCTTCATGGAAACACACCAAATCTGATAGGTGAAAGCCATTTCATTTTTTTCCTTTTTTTTTTTTAATTTGTTTTTGCTAGGCAATGGGGTTAAGTGACTTGCCCAAGGTCACACAGCTAGTAAGTATCAAGTGTCTGGTCTGAGACTGGATTTGAACTCAGGCCTTCCTGACTCCAGGGCTGGTGCTCTATCCATGCGCCACCTAGCTGCCCCTTGTGAAAGCCCATTTCAAACAAACCACGAAGGCTTTTCTCTTCCTTGAAACCCCCAGCATCCCTAGGACCATCTCCTATTCATAGTCTTGATTCCAAAGCTGTCCTAAATCCTGGCCCCTTTTGCTTTCCGCATTATACATTCTCCAGTGCTAGTTATAATCACCCAACTGCCCTCCTCCAAGCCACGAGATTTGGGAATAGACTTTATTACTGGTCCCTTGTGTCTACCAAACAAGGTTCCCTTCTCCTCCTAATTATATAAGAACACACTCAAAATAGGCTGCTTATAACATGCAGAATTTGGCCAGCTACTGAAGCTCTAAGAAACTGATTTATGCTCCCTCATGCAGGACCATCGACAAAGGGACCACTTTGGCAAAAGCTTAACGCTATATGGATTCCTGTCTAGGGAGGCTGGGGAACAGAAGCGATAGGAGAGAGAACCTACCCAATAGTGGAAACCAAAGCTACTGTTTGCCAGAAAAATTTGCTTCACTAGGAGGTTACAAGAGACCCAACTTCATCATTTATTATACTATGGTATCAGTCCAACTCCATGAGAGTGACTTCCAAGATGGCAGCAAAAGCTGGCAGGCCTGCAAGATTCACCTCAGTTGGCAGAAGAATTCAGATTAGTCATGGCAGAGAGGCCATATATAAATCCTGATCACCTCAAAAGACTAAGTTTATTACCCAATCTAGATCATAGCGGCTGTGGTCTAATGGTCCCCAGACCATTCTTTTTTAAGAAGTTTAGCACCTGGCTTACAGCCTTCCTCTCCTCCCAACTCTCATCCTCATACTAGGAGACTTCAACATACAGGCTGATGCTCCCTAAAATACCCAAACTTCCCAATTCTTCCTCCCCTCCCTCAAGCCACAAATAGGGAAAGCCATGTCCTGAATCTTGCCATAGTTCACAGTGGCCAGGAGATGGGAAGAGTTGTCATCACTTAAGATAACCCTTCCTCTCTTACCTTACCCCTTCCTGTAGCCCTAGAGTCTGAGGCCTAGACTGTTCCAGAACCCAAACAGGAGGCTAGGCAGCCACAACACTGAGCACCAATGGGCATCT